TTGAAGATGTAGATGTAGAAGAATATGGTCCTGTTCTTCTGTTACCCTTAACTCCTTTAGCGCTTCTTCAGGGTCTAAATGTTCTTTTTTGTTTTTTTTAGAATCATTAACTTTTTTACTTGATTAATAATGTCTTCAGATAGTTAAATAATATGAAAAAGAGATCAGATCAACATTTAAGCATGGCTCGTGAGATCTGTAAATGTAAGGAAAAAGCTGAAACTGAAGCTAAAGGTTCGTCTTTCACCGCAGCATGAAGAACTTTGGGCGTGGCCGTTTGTAAATAGAAACCTCGCCCCTGTAAACCTGCTCTTTAAGCCCCGCCCCCGGCGCCTCCGCCCTTTACCTGTTTCCTGCTTGTTGATCAATGATCATGTGATTGATGGATTATGTGAAATGTGAACATTTTGGACTCAGTAGTGAGATATTGATCAGCTATTTATTGATTTCCTTTTTTTTAAATGAAATGTGAGACTGCTGATCTTAATCTTTTCAACTTCCTGTGTTTCAGATCCCAAAAATAAAGAACACTTGAGTTGAATATTTGGAGTCAGTGGTTTTTTTTGTGGAGCCCTGTAGGTACACAGTGTAATCCACCATATCTCCAGGTGAGAGCAGCAGATTCCTGCTGGTGTAGTTCCATATTTCCGCCAGCAGGGGGCGGACTCTCAACTACCACCTCCGCGCGCTTCTTCCTGCAGCTCAGAGAGTTAGAGCAGGAGGCCTCACTGTAAATAATTACTAAGTGAAAACTGATCCAGACTGGGGTTTATCTTGAGTTATTGATCCTGGGAGATTTTCTGCACCTGCACGGAGGGTTTTTGGTGGCGGGACATCACCGTGTTGTTGTGTTTTGTGTTTTTAAGGTGAGTAACGACGACTAGCGGTTGACATGCTAACTACTGCCGAATTAGGCTGATTGCTCACTTATTTCATGGGAAAAGTGTCTTTGTTATAATTTCATGCTTGGAGACGATGCTTAAAAGACAGATGAAGGTATATGTGTGAATTGTGCATGTTAAACTGCGTCTAGTGGAAATGAAGAAGAAGAAGACTTTCTTGATCTCACCAATGGAGAAATTCAGTACAGCCCGTACTAAGATAAGACAAACAATAACAGCCCGTACTAAGATAATACAAACAATAACAGCCCGTACTAAGATAAGACAAACAATAACAGCCCGTACTAAGATAAGGCAAACAATAACAAATAGACACACCAGTTCTGGAAGACCGAAGGGCCTGAGGGCGTGCGAAATGACCTGCGTTATTTGAGCTATTGTTGTGATTTGTACGATTACTCTAAGCTAACTAATGCTAGTTCTATGAGCAAAAACAAGCAAGTGTGATTTTGAGTTATTGAGAGACAGAAATGGGATTTAGAATAATTCATATACACCATTTTCTGTGTGTGGGCTGTTTTATTTTATAGCTGTATGTGATACTTTGTCAATTTGAATGGTTCACATCCATTGAATGAAGATTAAAAAGATGACAAACACTGTACAGTTGATTTGGGTAAATGTCTAAAAAGAGATGAATGTCAAAGCTGCTGCTCTGTGCAGGTTGTGTTTTGTAGGAGTGGGTTTTGGTGGCGGGCCAGAGCCGGA